CCCCCCCCTGCATGTTATATGCCGTCAGAATCGCTAATGCTAACACCAAAAGCTAGCCCTCACATGTCCAGGTCTGCAGGAAATGCCTCTGGAATCGTAATGCGTGGAGCGCAGCTAGCAGCTAACCTCGCTCCGTTTTATTAGAATTTCAAATTGGAAGGTCTGAAGCAGGAGTGGTTCTGATGTGGAGGACGGAGGCGATGCTGAGGGTTCCCCTCTGAACGGCTCTCACTCAGCACCGTCTGAACTTACCGGGGCTCCTCTGGCAGCCAGGGGAGCAGACGGTGCAGAGCCGGGAAAGTATTCACCCCTCCAGATTCCCTCTTTCTTAGTTTTTGAAGAACTTTCAGATCATTAAAACTGTTTTAATATCAAACCAAAGGGAACCAGAGTAAAATCTAAAATTTACTTTATCTTGAAGCCAGAAAGCTGCTCTCAGATTTAAGTCCAGGATTTGACTAGGCCGCTAATAGAACCTTCCTATTGTTCTCCCTGGACTTGATGGATCCTCCATGGTCGTCTTCCTGTGGAACTTTAAACTGATGATGAAGTCAGGGAAAAATAACTGATTCATTTATAACAAACTGCTAAAGTCGTAGGGAATGTCAAATCATTCTGGCTTAAACATGTATATAAAGGTTCTCTTTATTTGACCCATCAAATCTGGGTTTTTTTTTTTGTTATCGTATGCAGGCTAGTTAATTATACGTCAGCCTGAACATCTAAATTCGGGCGATCATATATCAACTATCAATTATTCAAACATAGCATCTTGATTCATGTCGCAGCTAATATACGCAACGGTTGAAATAAGAATCCTTTCCTTTCCCATTGAGTTCCGTCCCAGTGTTCACGGGGATGGACGTCTGTGTCTTCGGCAGGCGTAGAGCTAACAGAACTGGCAGCGTTGCGAGGCAAGGGCTCAAACATGTACGGCTGGAAGCCTTCTACACCAAACCAAGCTTCTGCCGCCCTGACGTCCTCTTCCACAACATCTTCGTCCCCGCTTTCCTCCTCTAAATAAAAAATGGATGATGGAGGAGACTCATCCACGACCTCCGACACTAAACTCTCCTCCTCTTGCATGTTTCCTCTGTCCATAGCGTTCCTTGACAGTGTCGTTTCTAAGTCACTATTTAGTGCTACTTGGTCCCAATGGAATTTCCCATTGGGAACCTATTAGCACTAAGTTGCTAACTGGTTAGCAAGATGCTTCGGACAAACCGGCCACAACTAAACTTGCTTGTGAACCTTCCGCCACAACAATCCCGCCCCCTTGATAAACGTCCAATCACATTCACTTTATTCACTCGTGTAAAGTCGGGCACCACTACGGAGAATTTGGAAATGCAACGGTTGGAACAGCCGCTTCCCTACAACTTTAGATGAACCATTTAACATGAACTGCGAGTCTTGCCTTCGGTTCTGCTCGTTCTAACTGGGTTCCTCTTCATTCAACTCAAACCACTGTGGCTGCGCATCTGATGCAAACATCTCCAGTGGTTCTTATCTCCAACTTGATTTTCCTTTTTAAATGTGGATAACTTTGGGCTGAATTGTTTCTTCCTGTTAAAAGGGAGTTTTTCCTCTCCACTGTCGCTACAAGCATGCTTAGTGTGAGGGATTGAGTGAGTCAATGAGTCGATGCAATCAACTGGTTTTCCTCAGATAGAAAAATTTGAATCATTTTGACTGGATGATCTGGTGAACTGTAAAGTGCCTTCAGATGACGTGTGTTGTGAATTGGTGCTATAGAAATAAACTTAACTGAAATTGTCTAATTTGGCTTCCATACACAGCTTCCTGCAGAAACAGGGGAACCTCCTCTGCTAGTCTGTATTTAACACACTATGATTGTTTTATTGAAGCCTCTGAAAAGTTCGGCAGACTTTTAAACTAGAACCGGCCCGAGAGCCAGAGGTCAGTCCAGGTTCTGGATCCTTCTGGGTTTAAGTACTTTTTTTAAAATCAACATTTTTATTTGATTTCTTTCTCATTCAAATCTCCAGACTCTTAACTCTTCTGAATGAGGTCTTTAGCAGCATGGTTTTCCTTCCACCAAATTTCCCCCCAATATGCAGCTCCTTATTCTGTGTGTGGACAGCCATCTTCCTCATGGCGGTGCGGGACATAATCTGGACACCGTAGAAGATTCTTTCCTGTCAGATCAAATTATTAAACTTCTAATAAATGACTGGAGTTTACCTTCAATGATCCACATCAGCTTCCTTATGTGTTTCTGATTAATTGATTCTTTCCCACCTGACCCTTGGCGAATCAGGGGCTGCTGGGGGCCTCTGAGGTGAAGGTAAGGCGACCTCTGGAGTTAAAGCGGCGGTTTGAGGCCGAGCCGCCACAGGTTTTGGAAGCAAACACTAAGCCTGCTGTTATCCCTGCTAATGCTCAGGCCCGCAGCATCCACATCACCACACCGATCACGTTGCTGATGCCAGGCTAGGGGCCAACTATTCGGCAGCGCGGCACCCAGAGGACGCCGCAGGAATCAGATCCATTACGCTCCCATCCTCATCAAAGGGACTCTGGGACCGGGAGGCTAAACCGGCTCCAGATGCTCGCTGTTGTATTCACTGAGATGCTCAGCGGGGTGAGCGTCACCGGGGCCGACGCCTCTGATACGGGCAACAAAAAAACCACAAACGGTCCGCCTCAGTCCCGCTGATTGGATTTGTTTCAGGAGCTCAGTGGGGATCAAAACAAAGCAGATGTAAACAAAGGCGCTCTCTGCTCACCGCTGGACAAATAGATACACAGAGAAATGAACTACGATCCGGCAGAAAGCCTCATTATGGGATGTTTACCTGTGATGGAGCCAGATCAGGTTCCATCCAGCACACAGTTCTGCTCCTCCCTAAAAAAAAACATAATCTTACCCAAATGGACCGACAGGAGCTACGCCTCTGGGCTGCAGACATTTTTCCACCTGTTCACAGTGGGACGATTCCAGCATTATGAAGTTAAACTATAGTTTTCTAGATTAGATTAGATTCAACTTTATTGTCATTACACAGGTAAAGGTAGAAGGCAAGGAATCAGAAATACTTTAATAATCCCAGAGGGAAATTACTTTTGTTACACGCTCCAGTTACAGTTTTAAATAATATATACACACATCCAACTATACAATATAATAAAGATAAAAAGTAAGAATAAAAAGTGATAAAGTATATACACATATAGCTCTTCTATATATATATATATATATCTGTACGTATATCTATGCATATGTAGAAACTAAATCCAAGTAAAGTGAAAATCCAAGTAAAGTGATAAATCCAAGTAAAGTGAAAATCCAAGTAAAGTGATAAATCCAAGTAAAGTGATACATGGCGTGCAAAAATAGTGCATAAATGTCAATTACAGGGGGGGCTGAATCACTTGAGGGAGGCGTTATAGAGATTGAATGCAGTGTAGGTCTAACCAGAAGTGCAATAGCAGCAAGTGCAGGATTTACAATGCTATTATTATAAAATGAATAAATAGAACTTGGCTTGCTAATCCAGAACCACCCAGATTAAAACATTTAGAAATTACCGTATGTTGTCCGACGACAGTGTCTAGTTTCGCTTGCGCCTCTTCTTCTGTTAATACGGTAAAGCCATCCAGGCTACACGTGATCCAAATGATCCAATGAGCTGCTGTCAGTCTGGGTTGCTGCTGCTGCTACTTTTAGACACAGCAGGCAAACCTGTGGCAAGCTGGGCGATGGGAAAGAAGGAGAAGATGATGAGAAAAAGTGGAGGAAAGTGTGGACTGGTGCAAGAACTGTGTTGAACTGGTGAAAGAAAAGTGAAATGGTGCTCAAAGAACATTTAGAGTATGTTTGGCTCAACCTGCTGCTGTGAAGCAGGATTCTCCACCATAAACAGAATCAACAATAAATCTGGATCCAGGCTCAAAATGAGCTCCTTGATATGTGCTTTAGAATGGCTTAGTCTCCATTAAACCCAGGTTTAAAGCCTTGCAGGGCAGCATAAAGCCCACTGCCAACATTAAGACAGACAAAAGAAAGAAAAACGGTCAGTTCAGGTGTTTTATTAAAAAAAAAGTGATGATATAATATCATTATCTCCATTTTATCTCTTCTTTCTTTCATCTTTTCTCATTTTTCCTGTTCTACTTACATTGCAGTGTCCATATAATATATAATACTCCCTGTATGAATCATAATAAAGCTAGTTATATACATAAATCAAGGGGAACGATTGTTGTTCTCTACTTTAGAAAAACTATTCAGATTTAAAATTTAAATGGAAAAACTTTCTATTTTTTATATTTTGTATTGAAAAACTCAATGTATAACATGGATGCATAAACACCTGCATTTAATCTCAGTGTTAAATACTGTTTAGAGTAGCAGATTATGATAAAAAATGTTCTGGTTAGGCTGACCTTTTTTCAGTCATTATTAATATTTAGCTATTTTAGAAAATGATCGTCTGCTTTAGCTAAAATAGTTCAAACCTAACTGTTGTCTGTGTCCAGGATGTCTGCATTTCATGCTTCTGGTTCCGTTTCTACATCTTTACAAACTCAGCTTTCGTTTCTTTAGGGAACGCAGACGTAATGAAAGTGATGTTGATGCGTGTTTTTAATGCGCAGGATGTGGATTCTGCTCTCTGGGTCGATCAGACGTTCAGTAGAAACCATGAATCAGTAAATCAGAGCAAAGTCAAACACGGAGCTTCCTGATGTCAGACTGTTGACTGATTAGCGATGGATTAATGAGCAGAAAGCAGCTCCTTCCTCCTCCTTTTCTCCTGTTTTTATTCGCCCCCCCCTCCTCCTCCTGACTGGAGTCGTCAAGCTTTGAAACAGATCCAAACGCCTCCTCCTCTTCTCCACCTTGCATGTTTGTGTTGTTAATATTCACTCAGCGTCTGCAGGTGTCGACAGGTGATGCCAAGTAGATGAATATAGAAGACGCTCTTTGTCGCTGCTCCTGCTGATCCCTCGCCTCTCTTTCCTTTCTTTTTCTCCAGGCTGCTGTTTTGTCACGTTTTACACAAGGAAAGCTGCCCTTGAAGCCCAGAATGCACTGCATAACATAAAGACCTTAACAGGGGTGAGTATTTGAGTCTTCCCACCTTTCGCTCTAATCACAAACTCACAGCGGCGCCCGGAGGCCAGCTCGCCCCCCGGCCTGCATGTGTGTGTGAGATTACCTCCATGCCACCGCGCTGCATTTAGCAGGAGTGTCCGAGAGCGCCGGCAGGTGAGCAGCCGCCTGTCAGAGGGAGAAGCCTCTGCATTGATTAGCGGGGAAGCAGATGCTGGAGGAACCCGGTGGGACTTAGCTGGAAACAAATACTCCCGTTTGCCTCCATTGTTCTTCCCAGAGAAGCTCAGAGGCTTGAAGGCACACTCCAAAGAACCACTAGGATGTCTCAGCGGAGGAAAGCAGAGACAGGTTTCGGTCTCTAATGGGTCACAGTTCTACCAGAACCAGTTTATCTCAATTCAAACCCAACTTTTCCACCTATAAGTTATTTGGTTAAGAAATGTTTGACCGTTTTTAATCAAATCTATTCCTTTGGTTTCATTCAGCTGGCTTCCCCTGGTCCTTTTTAAATCACTTTTAAATGAAAGTCGTAGGGAAGCGGCAGTTCCACCCGTTGCATTTCTGAATTCTCCCGAGTGGTGCACGACTTTACACGAGTGAATAACGTGAATGTGATTGGTCCTTTATCAAGGGGGTGGGATTGTTGTGGTGGAAGGTTCGCAAGCAACTTCAGTTGTGGCCGGTTTGTTGGAAGCATCTTGCTAACCAGTTAGCAACTTAGTGCTAGTAGGTTCCCAATGGGAAAGGTTAGCGATCCATAGGGTCCATGGGGTCAGAGGTCCAATATGTCAGACCTCCAACAAGACAGTGGTCAATGGGGTCAGAGGTCAATAGGGTCAGAGGTCCAAAGGATCAGGGATTAATAGGGTCAGAGGTCCATGGGGTCAGAGATCCAATATGTCAGAGCTCCAACAAGACAGTGATGAAAGGGGTCAGAGGCGCAAAGGATCAGGGGTTAATGGGGTCAGGGATCCATGGGTTCAGAGGTCCATAGGGTTAGAGTTCCATGGGGTCAGAGGTCCAAAGGATCAGGGGTTAATGGGGTCAGAGTCCATGGGGTCAGGAATCCATGGGGTCAGAGGTCCAAAGGATCAGGGGTTAATGGGGTCAGGAATCCATAGGGTCAGATATTCATTGGTTCATTGGGGTCAGGGATCCATAGGGTCAGATGTTCATTGGTTAATTGGGGTCAGGGATCCATAGGGTCAGATGTTCATTGGTTCATTGGGGTCAGTGATCCATAGGGTCAGATGTTCATTGGTTAATTGGGGTCAGGGATCCATAGGGTCAGATGTTCATTGGGGTCAGGGATCCATAGGGTCAGATGTTCATTGGTTAATTGGGGTCAGGGATCCATAGGGTCAGATGTTCATTGGTTAAATGGGGTCAGGGATCCATAGGGTCAGATGTTCATTGGTTAATTGGGGTCAGTGATCCATAGGGTCAGATGTTCATTGGTTCATTGGGGTCAGGGATCCATAGGGTCAGATGTTCATTGGTTCATTGGGGTCAGGGATCCATAGGGTCAGATGTTCATTGGGGTCAGGGATCCATAGGGTCAGATGTTCATTGGTTAATTGGGGTCAGGGATCCATAGGGTCAGATGTTCATTGGTTAAATGGGGTCAGGAATCCATAGGGTCAGATTTTCGTTGGTTAATTGGGGTCAGGGATCCATAGGGTCAGATGTTCATTGGTTAATTGGGGTCAGGGATCCATAGGGTCAGATGTTCATTGGTTAATTGGGGTCAGGGATCCATAGGGTCAGATGTTCATTGGTTAAATGGGGTCAGGAATCCATAGGGTCAGATGTTCATTGGTTTATTGGGGTCAGGGATCCACAGGGTCAGATGTTCGTTGGTTAATTGGGGTCAGGGATCCATAGGGTCAGATGTTCATTGGTTAATTGGGGTCAGGGATCCATAGGGTCAGATGTTCATTGGGGTCAGGGATCCATAGGGTCAGATGTTCATTGGTTAATTGGGGTCAGGGATCCATAGGGTCAGATGTTCATTGGTTAAATGGGGTCAGGGATCCATAGGGTCAGATGTTCATTGGTTTATTGGGGTCAGGGATCCACAGGGTCAGATGTTCGTTGGTTAATTGGGGTCAGGGATCCATAGGGTCAGATGTTCATTGGTTAATTGGGGTCAGGGATCCATAGGGTCAGATGTTCATTGGGGTCAGGGATCCATAGGGTCAGATGTTCATTGGTTAATTGGGGTCAGGGATCCATAGGGTCAGATGTTCATTGGTTAAATGGGGTCAGGGATCCATAGGGTCAGATGTTCATTGGTTAATTGGGGTCAGTGATCCATAGGGTCAGATGTTCATTGGTTCATTGGGGTCAGGGATCCATAGGGTCAGATGTTCATTGGTTCATTGGGGTCAGGGATCCATAGGGTCAGATGTTCATTGGGGTCAGGGATCCATAGGGTCAGATGTTCATTGGTTAATTGGGGTCAGGGATCCATAGGGTCAGATGTTCATTGGTTAAATGGGGTCAGGAATCCATAGGGTCAGATGTTCGTTGGTTAATTGGGGTCAGGGATCCATAGGGTCAGATGTTCATTGGTTAATTGGGGTCAGGGATCCATAGGGTCAGATGTTCATTGGTTAATTGGGGTCAGGGATCCATAGGGTCAGATGTTCATTGGTTAAATGGGGTCAGGAATCCATAGGGTCAGATGTTCATTGGTTTATTGGGGTCAGGGATCCACAGGGTCAGATGTTCGTTGGTTAATTGGGGTCAGGGATCCATAGGGTCAGATGTTCATTGGGGTCAGGGATCCATAGGGTCAGATGTTCATTGGTTAATTGGGGTCAGGGATCCATAGGGTCAGATGTTCATTGGTTAAATGGGGTCAGGAATCCATAGGGTCAGATGTTCGTTGGTTAATTGGGGTCAGGGATCCATAGGGTCAGATGTTCATTGGTTAATTGGGGTCAGGGATCCATAGGGTCAGATGTTCATTGGTTAATTGGGGTCAGGGATCCATAGGGTCAGATGTTCATTGGTTAAATGGGGTCAGGAATTCATAGGGTCAGATGTTCATTGGTTCATTGGGGTCAGGGATCCATAGGGTCAGATGTTCGTTGGTTAATTGGGGTCAGGGATCCATAGGGTCAGATGTTCATTGGTTAAATAGGGTCAGGAATCCATAGGGTCAGATGTTCATTGGTTTATTGGGGTCAGGGATCCATAGGGTCAGATGTTCATTGGTTATTTGGGTCAGTGATCCATAGGGTCAGATGTTCATTGGTTCATTGGGGTCAGTGATCCATAGGGTCAGATGTTCATTGGTTCATTGGGGTCAGGGATCCATAGGGTCAGATGTTCATTGGTTCATTGGGGTCAGGGATCCATAGGGTCAGATGTTCATTGGTTAATTGAGGTCAGGGATCCATAGGGTCAGATGTTCATTGGTTCATTGGGGTCAGGGATCCATAGGGTCAGATGTTCATTGGTTAAATGGGGTCAGGAATCCATAGGGTCAGATGTTCATTGGTTTATTGGGGTCAGGGATCCATAGGGTCAGATGTTCGTTGGTTAATTGGGGTCAGGGATCCATAGGGTCAGATGTTCATTGGGGTCAGGGATCCATAGGGTCAGATGTTCATTGGTTAATTGGGGTCAGGGATCCATAGGGTCAGATGTTCATTGGTTAAATGGGGTCAGGAATCCATAGGGTCAGATGTTCGTTGGTTAATTGGGGTCAGGGATCCATAGGGTCAGATGTTCATTGGTTAATTTGGGTCAGGGATCCATAGGGTCAGATGTTCATTGGTTAATTGGGGTCAGGGATCCATAGGGTCAGATGTTCATTGGTTAAATGGGCTCAGGAATCCATAGGGTCAGATGTTCATTGGTTCATTGGGGTCAGGGATCCATAGGGTCAGATGTTCGTTGGTTAATTGGGGTCAGGGATCCATAGGGTCAGATGTTCGTTGGTTAAATAGGGCCAGGAATCCATAGGGTCAGATGTTCATTGGTTAATTGGGGTCAGGGATCCATAGGGTCAGATGTTCATTGGTTAAATGGGCTCAGGAATCCATAGGGTCAGATGTTCATTGGTTCATTGGGGTCAGGGATCCATAGGGTCAGATGTTCGTTGGTTAATTGGGGTCAGGGATCCATAGGGTCAGATGTTCGTTGGTTAAATAGGGCCAGGAATCCATAGGGTCAGATGTTCATTGGTTCATTGGGGTCAGGGATCCATAGGGTCAGATGTTCATTAGTTATTTGGGTCAGTGATCCATAGGGTCAGATGTTCATTGGTTCATTGGGGTCAGTGATCCATAGGGTCAGATGTTCATTGGTTCATTGGGGTCAGGGATCCATAGGGTCAGATGTTCATTGGTTCATTGGGGTCAGGGATCCATAGGGTCAGATGTTCATTGGTTCATTGGGGTCAGGGATCCATAGGGTCAGATGTTCATTGGTTCATTGAGGTCAGGGATCCATAGGGTCCATGGAGTCACAGGTCAGTGGGGTCAGAGGTCCATAGGGTCAGAGGTCAAGGGGTTCAGATCTGAGCAGTAATCTGTGGTGGAAGATGAGACGGCATCAGACGTACAGAAGCACAGATCTAAGGCCAGCCTTTCATCTTTGGTCATCTCTGGACCTCAAGAGACATCCTGAAACGTCCACAATGAAGAAACATGGCGTTGAGTTGACAGCGCCATCATAATTACAGGAAGCAATGATCAAACAGAAACCTTCAACATTTAAAGCTGATGTTTCTGCCGACGGTTATTTCAGTAGTTGGAGCAAATAAAGATGAATGGACCTCGCTCAGTTAGAAGAATCTGGTCTCAGTTTGATTCATGGAGGAAATCCTTCTGGGAGCCAAGCCTTAAAACTGCCCTCTGAGGACCAGATGACACTGATCAATGGCTCAATATGTCGGTAATTAAACCTGCAGCGCATTCATCATGTCAGAGCTGCACAGCACAGACCTACGAATGTCAGATTGTCCCGTATTGACTCAGATATATGGCTTA